TGGGTAGTAAGGCTTTCCTCCATGGTCGCCCCGCCCCCAGGTGAAGACGGAGATCAGCGTGGAAAGCAAGCACCAGACCCTGCAGGGCCTGGCCTTCCCCCTGCAGCCTGAGGTCCAGCGGGCCCTCCAGCAACTCAAGCAGAGGACCGTCAACTATATCCAGCTGGTGGGTGCGCAGGCGTGTCACGTGTCCACGACACGCGCGGGGCCAGGCACCGTGGGCTTTTCCCCTACTCCTGGTTTGCAGATGGGCACAGAGCCCAGTCCCCATCTCCTGAGCGGTTCCTCTAATCCGCGCTGTTCTTGGACTGGGGGTGTAGCTCAGCTGGTAGAGCGCTCGCCTGCCATACACGGGGAGTTGATCCTCGGGGCAGCAGCACCCGGAACTGGGCGTGGTGGCACACACCTGGAATCTCAGCCCTCAGGAGGCAGAGAGAGGCAGGAGCGTCAGAGCTCAAGGTCGTCCTTGGCTGCATAGGGAGTTTGAGATCAATCTAATCTGCACAAGACTGTTTCTTTTGTTGTTGTTGTTGTTGTTGTTGTTGTTGTTGTTGTTGTCTTGAGATAGTTAGGGTTTCTCTGTGTAGCTTTGGTGCCTGTCCTGGAACTCGATTTGTAGACCAAGTTGGCCTTGAACTCACAGAGCTCCACCTGCCTCTGCCTTCCTTTTTTTTTTTTTCTTCTTGTTTCTTTTTTTAAAGAGCATACCGTTTTCCCCTCCTCCCCCTGCCCCCAAGCCCTGGCCACAACAGACGCCCTGTAAACAGTTCCTCTGTAACTCCCTTGACTACCTCTTTCCCAGGCAGAACTCTTCTGCCTCCTCTGACCACACAGGCTGGCTCTCCCTCCCACTGTCCTGGGGCTTTGCCTCTGAGGATGGAACCGTCGCAATGTCTTGCTGAGGTCACTGTCCTCCACACCACCCCAAACGGGGATCTGGGTTGGGGGGGCGGGGCTTCATCCTTTGCTGAACCTCCAAAGGGGCGGAGTTAGGGCCAGGCCTGGAAGGTCTCTTTAGAATAAATAACCCCTGCAGCCTGAGGTCCAGCCTTGGGAAGGGGACCCCAGGGAGAAGGACCCCCAAACACTATCAGCCCTGTTTCTTAGTGGGTACAGTGGTGCCCTCACACCGCCCCTTCTCCTCCTCAGAAGCTGGACCTGGAACGGGAGACCATTGAGCTGGTACACACGGAGCCCACAAATCTGGCCCAGCTGCCCTCACGGGTCCCCCGAGATGCTGCCCGTTACCACTTCTTCCTGTACAAGCACACCCATGAGGGTGACTCCCTTGAATCTGTGGGTGAGTAGCAATGACAGGGACCTCAATTCTGTGCTGGCCAGGAGCGGGTGACAAGCCGCTGCTTGGTCCTGCTGTGGGGGTGGAGGTGTGCAGGTGCCCCAGCCTGCGTGGGCTCACCTCCTCGTCCTCCACAGTGTTCATCTACTCCATGCCGGGGTACAAGTGCAGCATTAAGGAGCGCATGCTCTACTCCAGCTGCAAGAGCCGCCTCCTCGACTCTGTAGAGCAAGACTTCCAGCTGGAGATAGCTAAGAAGGTATAGATGTTCCCAGGGCCCATCACCCCACTCTCCGCGTGGGACCCTGGAGTCCTAAGTCCATGTGGGATTCACTGCTGCAGTATTGGATACCCGGGTGGGGAGCCGACGATGTGGGACAGCCCAAGACATTCACGAGCCCAGCCTCCTTTCCTCAGGTCTTGGGTGACTGGGAGGAGGTGACTCGGGCCAGCAGGGTAATGGCCCTGTGTTACATATCCCGTGGTGACCTAAGAGTGAGACTCACCGAGAGTGGTATGTGTGGGGGCCTCAGCGTAGTGATGGCTTCTGTCTTGATCCATGCAGATTGAGATTGGTGATGGGGCAGAGCTGACAGCCGACTTCCTCTACGATGAGGTACATCCCAAGCAGCATGCCTTCAAGCAGGCATTCGCCAAGCCCAAAGGCCCCGGCGGCAAGCGGGGCCATAAGCGCCTCATCCGGGGCCCCGGCGAGAATGGAGATGACAGCTAGGTGTCTGGACTGGAAACAGGGCCGGGCATGTGGACTGCTGGCCTGCCGCCCTGCCGTTCCTGCACCTCCTTCCTCCCTAGCCTGGGCTCTAAGGAATAGGTTCCTGTGGGAATGGAGGGCAGGTGGCTGAACACATTTGCTACTTTCAAGGGCCATTGGACCAGCACTTGGTGACCCTGCCCGTGGCTGTCCCTTTCTCTCATCTGTGTGCACAGGGTGGCTGGGGAACCCCACCTGGCTCTTGCAAGGGGTCTGAGTGGGGGGCCTGGCATGAACCTAGCCTCCAGATCTGATGCTGTGGTCCCAGCTCAGTCCAGAAGCCTTTGGCCACAGAGGGTGGGGATGGTTGGCAGGGGCCAGATGTCACAGGAAGGGACGGTCGAACGCTGTATTTTCTAAAGAATAAAATATTTTTAAATCAATACTGAGCCTGACTCTGTGAATCGGGTGCATGGTGGTCTTTTTCCCTGCTCAGAAGGGGCTTTGTTGGCCTGCCAGGGTGAAACCCGAGCGCTCCTGGCCTCACATGTAGGGGAGATACTTTGAGAATGAGGGAAGAAGCCCTGCCCATGAGGCCCACACACTTCCATGAGGTTATGGACATCTGGGTGTCTCTGTTTCCTGTGGGTGCTGTGACAAGTTACCACAAACTCAGTGGCTTAAAAAAGAGGTAGTTTGAGCCCAATCTGAGCAAAACTCTGTTTAAAAAAGGAAAAGAAAAACCTTGCACATTTATTTGTACAGCTCTGGAGGCTGGACAAGGCTAACACCATGGTACAGACAGCCGGCCTTGGGCAGGGTTGGCTGTGTTCTTAGCTCTGAATTTGAAGACCCAGATCCTGCTTCTCTTCTTCCATGGCTCTGTGCCTCCATCTGTAGTCACATCTTTCCATCTTTACTTAATAGTTGAGTGTTGTGTTTTGAGACAGGGCCTTGTTGTGCGGTGACTGAGACCATCATCCTGCCTCAGCCTCCCTGATGCTGGCGTAACCAGCACACATCACCATACCTGCCTCTGTCTCGGTTTCATTCATTTGTTGGGTGGATTTTTTTTTTTGTGGTTTTTTTGAGACAGGGTTTCTCTGTGTGTAGCTTTGGAGCCTGTCTGGGAACTCACTCTGTAGACCAGGCTGGCCTCAAACTCACAGAGCTCTACATGCCTCTGCCTCCAGAGTGCTGGAATTACAGGCATGTGCCACCACCACCCGTGTTCTGTCTCATGTACCCCAGGCTGGCCTCCAGTGGGCTCTGTAGCTGAGGCTGATCTTGAACCTCTAGAGGCATACACCACTGTGCCTGGCTTATGGGGTATCGAAGGTCAAATCCAGGCCTTGTGAATGCTAAGCAAGCAGTGTGGCAGCTAAGCTACATCCACAGCCCCCGGTGCTTTATAACAGACACGCACTCTCTCAGCTTCCTGTCAGCACTTCCCCTACAATAGTGTAGGACTGCGGGAATGAGGAGTTGGATCCCTAAGAAGGCACTGTTCGTTTTTGGTTTTGGATTTTCAAGACAAGGTTTCTCTGTGTAGCAGCCCTAGATGTCCTGGAACTAGCTCTGTAGACCAGGCTGACCTTGAACTCAGAGATCCACCTACCTCTGCCTCCTAAGTGCTGGGATTAAAGGCGAGCACCACCACGGCCTGGCTGCACTGTTTGTTTTTTTGAGACAGAATCTTTTTTTTTTTTTTTAAGGAAAAAAAGGGTTTATTTTGGCTCACAGCTTGAGGGTGCAGTCCTTCATGACAGGGAAGACTGGTGGCAGGTGCTCGAGGCAGCTGCTCATACTCCATCTACTGCCAGAAGCAGAGGAATGTGGATTCTAGTGCTTAGTTGTGTTCTCCTTCAATCTAGAACCCTAGCCCATGGAACGCCACCCTTCTCCTTCAGTCTAGAACCTCAGCCTGTGGAATGCTGCTCTTTCTTTCAGTCTAGAAACCCCATTCCATGGATCACTGTCCTTCTCCTTCAGTCTAGAACCCCATCCCATGCAACACTACCCTTCTCCTTCAGTCTAGAACCTCAGCCAGTGGAATGCCACCCTTCTCCTTCAAGCTAGAATCCCAGCCCATGGAACACAGCTCTTCTCCTTCAGTCTAGAACCCCAGCCCATGGAAGCCCAGCCCAAGGAACATTGCCCTTCTCCTTCATTCTAGAACTCTAGTCCATGGAACACAGCTGTAGCTAGAGTTTTCCTGCCTGGCCCACAGTCAGGACAAATCTTTGTCACTCACCAGTCCCACAGCCTCTCAGACCCAACCAAGTAAACACACAGAGACTTATACTGCTTACAAACTGTATGGCCGTGGCAGGCTTCTTGCTAACTGTTTTTGTATCTTAAATTAACCCATTTCTATTTATCTGTAAGTTGCCACGTCGTTCCTGGCTTACCAGTATCTTAACATCTTCTCATGGTGGCAGCTGGCAGTGTCTCTCTGCCTCAGCTTTCCACTTCCCAGAATTCTCCTCTCTCCTTGTCCCGCCTATACTTCCTGCCTGGCTACTGGCCAATCAGTGTTTTATTTATTAAACTATCAGAGCAACACATTTAACATACAGAACATCCCACAGCACTTCCCCTTTTCTTTTTTTTCAAAAAGGAAGGTTTTAACTTTCACATAGTAAAATTACAGATAACAAAACAATTATCAAGCAAGAATTACAGTTATAATATCTAGCCTATTTATAATATCTAGTCTATTTGTATTTGGCAGAATTAAAGAAGATATCCTATCTATCTTATATTTGTAAGTCTAAGGTTTCTAACTCATCTAACTTATCTTTTTATCATAACTAAGGAAATTTATAACTATCTAGTCTTCAACTACATCAAAGACCTCAGAAGGATATAATAATACCTGAGAAATGGAAGATGGACACAAGCAACTTTCAGGAGTCTTGCAGGGTAGACAGAGACAGCTGGCAGCCTGGACAGTCATCTAATGTTCCTTTGTAAAGTTGGGGCATCTGTCTTCAGTCCACAGGCCTAGAGTCTCTCAGTCACGTCTCTCTGTGTCCTGTAGAATGAGACAGAATCTTACTATGTAGCCCTGGCTAGCCTGGAGCTTTGCTATGCAAACCAGGCTGGCCTCATAAATCACAGAGATCCAGCTGCCTCTGCCTCTGCCTCTTGAGTGCCGGGATTAAAGGTGTGGGCCACTGCACCTGGCACCAAAGAAGGCACTGTTGATCCTACCAGCCTGGGTGAGGGCTCTGGATGGTTTTCATGGCACCAAGGCTATAATGGGTATTCTAGAGACCAGTATCTTGGAGTCTCCAGTCCTGTGTGTCCCTGACCATGTTATCAGCATCCCTGTGCCCCTCTTCAGGTCTGCTTTCCTTTTCCCAAGGAATACAGAGTGGTGAGTGGAAGTAGGCACCTGACTTTGTGGTCCATGAGATGTCACTCGGCCTCTGGGAAAGTGCCCAAGTTTGATACTCAGCAGAAACCAGGGGTCAGTCTATGCCTCTGAAGAATGGGTAGACAGCTCCTGGCCCAGGAGAGGAGGGCTGGAGAAACATGCAGCTGCTGAGTGGACACTGTCCTTTCTCCTGGATCAGGGCATTGGCCCATTGCAGGGGCCCGTTTGAACCCCTCTTAAAGCCCCTAGGATTATGGATAGGAAAGCTGGGACCCTGGCAAGGAGCCACAAGAGACTTGGCCCACATACCGGTCGGTTCTCAGGCAGGCAAGAAGATAGCACAGATGACAGGCAAGCTGCCAAGCCAGCCAGACCATTGGCACCGCGGACCCTGCCTGCTATGAGATCCACTCTGATGAGGGGCTGGGCAGAGCCAGGAGACTGATGTAGAACCCTGCCCCTTTTGGGAGAACGGCCCATCATTCATTCTCTCATTCATTCATTCATTCATTCATTCATTCAGACTTCACTCAAAGATACCCTGACACCCAAGGCTGAGTGCTGTGGGCAGGACACAGCCTCAGCAGATACTGAGCAGTGCCGCAGACACAGATGTAAGTTCTTACCCTCAAGAAGTCAGCATTCCAACAGCAGAGTAAGACAGTACCCAGCAGAGCGTGAAGGGTGGGCGGCAAGGTGTGGCAGCATTTGAAAAAGGTTATGCAAAGAGAGAACCAGCAGGCCACAGTGCTCAGGCGAGCCAGGCCTGGGCGGGCAGGCTTACTTATGTCTATTTCTTTTGAATCGGGGTTTCACTATGTAGCCCAGGCAGGCCTTGAACTCTCATTCTCCTGCCTCACCCTCGTGATGCCGGAAGAATGGGTGTGTGGCTGAGCTGAGAGGTTCATGAGACGGTCAGGGAAGGCCCCATGGAAAGAGAGGATGATATGAGCCGTGTGTAAAGGCAGAAAATAAAGTGGACCATGTGGGGAAGAGAGTGTCCAGGCAGAGGGGAGAGTATGTTCAAAGGCCCCGAAGCTAGAGAGTGCGCAGATTCATCCAAACAGCAAGAAGCCGGGTGGCTGTCAGCAGATCGGCAGAAATGGAATGACAGGGAGCACATAGTACCTGGGCAACTGTTTGGACAGTGACTGGGCTCCAGACAGTTATGGAGGAATCTGGGTAGAGGAGGGACCCAGAATGGAAGTTTTGAACAGAGGGGATGGAGAGATGGCTCAGCGGTTAAGAGCATTGGTTGCTTTTCCAGAGGACCTAGGTTCAGTTCCCAGCACACACATGGCAGCTCACAGCTGTGTGTAGCACCAGTTGCAGGAGATCTGACATGCTCTTCTGACCTCCTCAGACACTAGACTTGCAAGTGGTGCAGGCAACACATACACGTGTACACACACACACACACACACACACACACACACACACATGTATACACAAGGCCTTTCCAGGGGCTCAATGTGAATTGCTGGGGGATATCTTTCTATATACTGTGAATATATGTTATTCTCATCAGTTAATAAGTAAGCTGCTTTGGCCTATGGCAAGGCAGCTTAGAGGCAGGTGGGAAATCCCAGGAGAGAGACAGAAAGAGAAAGGCAGAGGTGGGGGAGACACCAGCACCCCCAGGAGAAGCAAGATGTGGAAGTACCAGTAAGCCACAGTAAGCTATGGCCATGTGGCAACTTACAGATAAATAGAAATGGGTTAAGTTATAAGAGCTAGCTGTTAAGAAGCCTGCCGTAGCCCACACAGTTTGTAAATAATATAAGCCTCTATGTGTTTACTTGGGTCCAAGTGGCTGCAGGATCTTTAGTGAGAGAGATTGTTCTGGACTGCAGGGGCCAGGCAGGACCCTAGAAACTTACAGCTACAGTGAATAGGCTGCAGGAGATGAGAGAGAGCAGGACCAGGGTGATGTTAGCGATGACGTCAGCTCAGGCAGGCAGATAGACGTGCAGGGAGGCGGACCGTCCCATCCTTCAGGGAAGCTCCTTAAAACTCAGGATGTAAAAACTGAAAAGCTTCAGGAAGTCCCTGAAAGTGATCAGATGTACTGGGCCCTTGCTCCCCAAGCTTGTACTGACAGGAAAGACTGCTGAGAGGCACTCCCAGACCAGCAGGGGTGGGGGTGGGGTGCTGCCTGCAAGAAGCAGAAGCCGGCTGAGCTGCCTGGAAAAGGCTCCGACCAACTGAGTTGCCTGGAAAATTACCTCTCCAACATTTTGAGCTGCCACCAAGTTGTGGGTGAAGCTGCGGGTTTCCAGCTTTTGTGGAACCCATGCTGGGGTGGGCTCTGGGTGGTGCATCTGTCTCTGAGTCATGTCTGCTCCTTTAAGTGAGTCCTCACCCATGTAACTCCAGTAAAGCTCACTGGCTAGCCAACTTGGACTCGGGTGACGTCCTCAGCTTTGGCCTGTCATCAGTTGCTTCCTCGGGTGAGTACACATCTGCACGCATCTCCCCAGGAACCATGTCACACGACAGCAAGATGACCCAGAGTTCCAGCTGGACCAGCCACTGGGGTCTGATGGGCTACTGGGGGAACTGGGAATGCAGAGCAGGAGTCACTGTTCCTGGAAGAGATGTCGAGGCTGCTGCAGTGGTGAAGGCAGATGTTGGCTCCAGCCTCTGGCTCGCGGAGGCTGCCCAGAGTCGGGGGGCCTGCCCTGGGCGTACCCACAGAGCAAACACTGAGGCATGAGGGTGAGGTGACACCCTCCGCGTGGGTGTCAATGCTCGGCGCAGCTCTGCCAGGCTGCTTCAGACCCTGGTTTCTCATTGACCTTGGGCAGGACTCTGGGCTGTGGTCCCTTCCCGTACCTCCCAGGGGACAGATGTGAGGCCCTCATGGCTGGCTGCGGGGTGAGGGAGAGAATGAAAAGAGGAAGGAGTGAAGAGGCCTGCCTGCCATCTGACTATGCAAATGACCTGTGACTCATGGTACCACCTGCCCTCCCCGGGTAGGGATAAAGTATCTATCAGGCTGCAGCGAAAGTGTCACTTCCTCAGTTCCTCTAAGGGACCCTGGTGGAACATCCTTCTCTGCCGCCCAGCTTGTCGGACGGACGGAGCCTCTAGAGAAGACTCCATTCCCCAACATGGTAGGACCGCAGTTCTTAGCCCCACCCCCACCCCCCGGGAGTGGGCATCATGGGAGGAGGATGATGTTAGAATGGTCACAGTGGAGAGGACAGTCCACTCGGTGCCCTCGGGATGTTCATGGACCCCTGAGGAAACTGCAGCCAAAGTCGTTCTCTGAGCAGGGAGGGATGAACCTGCTAGGTGGGTAGGGAGGTTGAAGCCTGGGACCTCAGTTCCCGGTGGCTGCTGACCTGCACGCGGAAGACCTGCTGCCCGTTGCTCCCTCTGGGCCTTCTGAGTCTCAGCAGGCTGAGGGTTCTCAGGTCAGACTGGGGAAGCGGATGGAGGCTACAAAAGCCAGTTTGTACCAGCGAGAAGCCAGCTACACCTCAGGGGGCTTGAGAGCTCCAGGCACTTTGGCCAAGGAGAGGCCAGGAAGTGAGTGGAGCCCAGCTTCAGGGAGGCCTGGAGGAACAGAGAAAAGAGCTGAGGCCCCAGAGGAGAGGAAGAGAAAGTGTGGGAGGCCCAGTGGGCCCGTTGGAGTCTGTCCTGGCCCTGCTATTATGGGTTGTGTGTTCCCAGCGAAACGCTCCAAGTCTGGGGTCTGGATTTCAGGCCCAATCCTGGTTCTGTGTCCTAGCCCTGAGTCAGTCAGTGGCTGAGCCTAAAACCAAGGAGCGGTTCTGAGCGGGCCCGGAAGGAGGCTGGAGGGGGCGGCACTTGGAGGGGACTTGGAAGCCCTGAAGAACCGGCCCAGTGAGGAAGAGAGGGTAGGAGAGGGAGGGCAGGATAACGCTAGACACTCACCCAGTCCTGGCTCTCACAGGTTCTCTGTCACAGGACCCTTCACCCTGTGTCTCTCCTGGTGCAAGCTGCAGTGCTGGCCGAGGTGCTGGCTCTGGGCACCCTGCCTGCCTTCCTGCCCTGTGAGCTGAAGCCTCGTGGCCTGGTAGACTGCAACTGGCTGTTCCTGAAGTCTGTGCCTCGCTTCTCTGCAGCGGCTGCCCGTTCCAACATCACCAGCCTTTCCTTGATCTCCAACCGCATCCACCACCTGCATAACTCCGACTTCGTCCACCTGTCCAGCCTGCGGCACCTGAACCTCAAGTGGAACTGCCCGCCCACCGGCCTCAGCCCCATGCACTTCCCCTGCCACATGACCATCGAGCGCAACACCTTCGTGGTCGTGCGGACACTGGAGGAGCTGAATCTGAGCTACAACGGCATCACCACTGTACCCCCGCTGCCCAGCTCCCTGATGAACCTGAGCCTGAGCCACACCAACATCCTGGCACTAGATTCCACCAGCCTTGCCGGCCTGTACAACCTGCGCTTTCTCTTCATGGATGGGAACTGCTACTACAAGAACCCCTGCAATGAGTCAGTGAAGGTGGCCCCAGGTGCCCTCCTGGGCCTGAGCAATCTCACCCACTTGTCACTCAAGTATAACAAACTCGAGAAGGTGCCCCGCCAACTGCCCCCCAGCCTGGAGTACCTCCTGGTGTCCTATAACCACATTGTCAAGCTGGCACCTGAGGACCTCGCCAATCTGACCTCCCTGCGGGTACTTGACGTGGGCGGGAACTGTCGCCGCTGTGACCATGCCTTCAACCCCTGTACAGAATGTGGACAAGAGTCCCTCCAGCTGCACCCCGAGACCTTCCATCACCTGAGCCACCTCGAAGGCCTGGTGCTGAAGGACAGTTCTCTCCACACGCTGAACTCCTCCTGGTTCCAGGGCCTCGTCAACCTTTCAGTGCTGGACCTAAGTGAGAACTTTCTCTATGACAGCATTACCCAAACTATGGCCTTTCAGAACCTGACAAGACTGCGCAAGCTCGACCTGTCCTTCAATTATTGCAAGAAGATATCATTTGCCAAGCGCCACCTGGCAAAGTCCTTCGAGAGTCTGGTGTCACTGCAAGAGCTGAACTTGAACGGCATCTTCTTCCGACTGCTCAACAAGAACACACTCAGGCCGCTGACCAATCTGCCCCACCTCCACACTCTGCATCTTCAGATGAACTTCATTAACCAGGCCCAGCTCAGCATCTTCGGGACCTTCCCAAACCTTCATTTCGTGGACCTGTCAGAGAACCGCATCAGTGAGTCTTTGATAATGTCAGCAGCCACCCCTGAAGAAGCAGATGGTGGGGAGCGGGAGAGTCTGTGGTCTGGGGTTCCTGCCCCAACTCTGCTCAGCACCCCTGGCTCTAAGAACTTCATGGTCAGGTGCAGGAACCTCAACTTTACCTTGGATCTGTCTCGGAACAATCTGGTGGTAGTCAAGCCAGAAATGTTCGTCAACCTCTCACACCTCCAGTGCCTAAGCCTGAGCCACAACAGCATTGCACAGGCTGTCAACGGCTCTCAGTTCCTGCTGCTGACCAATCTACGGGTGCTAGACCTGTCCCATAACAAGCTGGACTTGTACCACGGGCGCTCGTTCACTGAACTCCCACAATTGCAGGCCCTGGACCTGAGCTACAACAACCAGCCCTTCAGCATGCAGGGGATCGGCCACAACTTTAGTTTTGTGTCCCGTCTGTCCAGGCTGCAGTACCTTAGCCTGGCACACAATGACATTCACAGCCGCGTGTCCTCACATCTTCGCAGTAACTCACTGAGGTCCCTGGACTTCAGTGGCAATGCTGTAGGCCTCATGTGGAGTGAGGGGGACCTTTACCTCCAATTCTTCCAGGATCTGCGGCGCCTGGACCAGCTGGACCTGTCTCAGAATCGCCTGCATATCCTCCTGCCCCAGTACCTCGACAACCTCCCCAAGAGCCTGAGGATTCTGAATCTCCGTGACAATTACCTGTCTTTCTTTAACTGGAGCAGTCTCACCTTCCTGCCCAACCTGAAAGTCCTGGACCTGGCAGGAAATCAGTTAAAGGCCCTGACCAACGGCACCTTGCCTAGTGGCACCCTGCTCCAGAAGCTGGATGTGAGTAGCAACAGTATTATCTCTGTGGCCCCAGCCTTCTTTGCTCTGGCTGTGGAGCTGAAAGAGGTCAACCTCAGCGACAACTACCTCAAGACAGTGGATCGCTCCTGGTTTGGGCCCATAGTGCCGAACCTGACAATGCTAGACGTGAGAAGCAACCCTCTGCACTGTGCCTGTGGAGCGGCCTTCGTGGACTTCCTGCTGGAGGTGCAGACCAAGGTGCCCGGCCTGCCCAACCAGGTGAGGTGTGGCAGTCCCGGCCAGCTGCAGGGCCGGAGCATCTTCGCGCAGGACCTGCGGCTGTGCCTGGATGAGGTCCTCTCCTGGGACTGCTTTGGCCTTTCCCTGTTGGCTGTGGCTGTGGGCGTGGCGGTACCATTACTGCAGCATCTCTGCGGCTGGGACGTCTGGTACTGTTTCCACCTGTGCCTGGCATGGATACCTTTGCTGGCCCGGGGTCGGCGCGGCGCCCAAGCCCTGCCCTACGATGCCTTCGTAGTGTTCGATAAGGCTCAGAGCGCGGTTGCCGACTGGGTGTATAACGAGCTGCGAGTGCGGCTGGAGGAGCGGCGCGGACGCCGAGCACTGCGCCTGTGCCTGGAGGACCGGGATTGGCTGCCGGGCCAGACGCTCTTCGAGAATCTCTGGGCCTCCATCTATGGCAGCCGCAAGACGCTGTTTGTGCTGGCCCACACGGACAGGGTCAGTGGCCTCCTGCGCACCAGCTTCCTGCTGGCTCAACAGCGCCTGCTGGAGGACCGCAAGGATGTGGTGGTGTTGGTGATCCTGCGCCCCGATGCCCACCGCTCCCGCTACGTGCGCCTGCGCCAGCGCCTCTGCCGCCAGAGTGTGCTCTTCTGGCCCCAGCAGCCCAACGGGCAGGGCAGCTTCTGGGCCCAACTGAGCACAGCCCTGACTAGAGACAACCGCCACTTCTATAACCGGAACTTCTGCCGGGGACCCACAGCAGAGTAGCCCAGAGCAACAATTGGGAACAGCGGCACCTTCACGCCTGGCCACCCGGGTTGCTCCGCCTGCCTTGCTCTGTCCTTCTCCTGCTTTACTCCACGAGTATCCAGCAGGTGCTCAGTACATGCTGCCAAACCACCAACCCTGAGCTCCTGGGCGGTGTGGGTGGGAGGAGAGATGGGAAAATTCTCCCTATCTCCGCATAGTAAAGAGAGAGAAGATAGATAAAAATGGGAGCCACAGAACAAAGGTTGGCTGTGCAGGGCAATTTTCTTCGCAGGCATCTTCCAGGAGGGTCTGAAGATAATCACCAAATGTGGACTCGATCCTTCCCCGAGAACAGGACCGGGTCTGACTTCTTCATTTTATTTTTTAAAGCTGTTCTCTGGATGCCCTGCCCTCTGTGCTGGCCTGTGTCAGCACCTGTCTGTCTGTCTTGCCCTCAGCAAGGTCCTGAGAAAACTCCCAAGCAGGGTAGTGCTCACTACTAGGTGTGTAGAAAAAGGGATGATTGCACGCTCGGGCGGCCATGCCTAAGCTGGACAAAGAAGGCCAGCCTTGATTAGAGTCCCACCAGTGCCAGCAGCAGCAAGGAGCTGAGAGCCACAGGAGATCAAAGGTGTGTTCAACCTTTGAGTGTGT